TGTTTGGCCTCTCTAGGCCTTGGGTTCTTCATCTACCTTCACCAATGGTAAGGGTCGATCAGATGACCTCTACATGTCCCCTCAGCTCCTGCAGTCCACCAGTAAATAGAACTGTCCCTGAGCAGCTGGGAGGGTCCATGAGAGCAAGCTCTGTTCCCTGCCTCTGAGAGGGTGTCAGCCTGAGCCAGACTGGAATGTCAACCCCTCATTCTGCTTATATTGATTCAAAAGGAAGAGTCATGTAGTACCTGGAAAGAATGAGAGATTTGGAATCGAAAGAACTGACTGAATCCTGGCTTTGCCTCTTAAAGGTCGTGGAAATTTGAGCAATTTCATTAGCTCTATGGGTTGCTTCCTTACCTGGGTAATGAGGATAACATATCACTGAGCACACACATGACCCTTGTTTTTGTTGTTGTTGTGTTGTTGTTTAAAGGTTTTATTTATTTGAGACAGAGAGAGAGTGAAAGAGAGCACAAGTGGGGAGGAGAGGGAGAAACAGATTCCCCACGGAGCAGGGAGCCTAATGTGGGGCTCGATCCCAAGACCCTGAGATCATGACTTGAGCCAAATGCAGACACTTAACCGACTGAGCCACACCAGGCACCCCACAGAGGACCCTTGTGAGGAATGGACAAAACACATATGTGGAAGCAGTCCATAAACACCAGAGTCTGTCCACACAGAAAGTGTCTGGGCCAACAAGTGAGATCCCTGTGCACACTGCTCATCTTGCATGCATCTACAAGCTATTCAGGAGTGATAGAACTTAGCTGTGAGCCTCCTTCTCCCTGCAAGGCTGAGCTCCAGGAGTACCCAAAAGAGTCATTCAAGAGTCAACTTGTCCAGATAAAGCACCAGGATGTTATGAACTCTCTTTAAATCTTAGGGTGTAGAATAAAGAACTAATGGGGCCCTGGCTGTCAAGAACAGTTATAACTTGAAAAAGGAGACAAGGCTGTTGGATGTGTCATTAGCAGGCTGTAACTAGTACAGTTGTTCCTTAAGGACTTGGAAAGGGAAAGTGTCAAAGAAGATGGAACCAGTGGGTGGATGAATCTAAGGAAGCCTCCTGGAGAAGTAATTCTAGCAGATGTGAACCACTACAGAGCTGTCCTTCTCCCAGACTTCTAACAAAGACAACCACCTCTTCCAACTGCTAACCCAGGAGGGCTGGAGAGAGGACAAAAATGTAGCCTGGTGTGTGTGGGGGGGGTGGTGCCTGAGGCTCTGAGGCATCTCCTGGGCAGGACTCTAAGAGGAAACTTTCCCACTGAATGTAAACAATGCTAAGGGCTTCCAAGCTTTATGCTTGCCCTGCCAATGCTCCTGAGCTCTTGCCCTGTGTCCATTTTATTCTTTACAAACCACCTGCTGCCCTTTAACCCTCAGGTAGGTTGTTAGCACTCAGTCATAAGAATGCATGTGTGTAGCTTTAGATACTTAAAGATTGTGATGAGCAGGCTTCTTTCAGACTGGGGCTCCCCAAACTCAAGAGCTGTGATCTCCCCTCAGACATGTATTTCCTTAAAGAACGTGAACCCTCCAAACCGACATGGGCAATTTGAAGATTATTAGCTCTTTGGGGCTTTGGGGTCACCTGCACTTGAGGTTCCCAAATTTCAGAATTTCATAGAGTAATAACAGCTCCCTCAAAACAATATGGTAACTGTTCTATTATAGACTTTTTTTTTTTTTTTGGTAAAGCAAAGACTTGAAAGAAACAACTACAACCTCCTGGAGTTTCCATCACTTTTAAAAGAAATGACATTTTTAATACACACAAAAGTAGGAAGGCCATAATTTCAAAATTAAAGACTTCTCAAGAATGCACTGCTGAAATCCTTTTACTAACATTTTCCTCCAGACTGGAGAACACACAGTAATGGATCAACATGGGTCCACAGATCAGTGCTGGAACTGCACATGGTCTACACTTTCTCCCCTTCTCTAGTGCTGCCCAACTAAATAAAACCATTCTTTGTTATACCCATGGCAATCATCTAGTTGGAGCCTGTTTCCCTTCAAAATCTCCCTGGTGCCTCACCTTCAAGCTGAGAAACCTGCTTTCTTCAACAGATCCTGGCTTTTCCCTTCTGGCTATTCTCTCAGGAGGGGAGCATGTGGGTTTGCCTGGCTTCATGCCATCCAAACTAGAACTAGCACCACAAGTTTCTGAAGACCACAGTCTAATCAGGATCACTTGATCATTAAGCCACCATAATTAACAGTCAATTTATTATTGGGGCTGTCATTTCAACATATAGGTGGGCAGAACAAAGTTCAAATGCCATATCTTAAACAATAGCAATTGAGTTCCTGTGATGAAAGAAGGGGGAGCATGCTGTTCATACACAGAAGTGATGCTATTGGTCCAGGGTCAATGGAGAATTTTTGAGTATTTTCTTACTGAAGAACTTGCCTCTAGCTATCCATAGACTCCCTTCTGGCCTTGCTGTCCAAAGGCAGGCCAAGTTGGAAGTAAGACTGTGCTGTAATAGGAGAAAACAATAAAAAGAACAGCATCACCTTCTAGAGTTTATTATAACTATTCCCTCTTCCCAAGCCTATGAAACAGATATTGCTATTCCTATGTGATAGACAAGGTAACTGGTCATCAGAAGCCTATTCATTCATCAGTCAACAAATACTGAGTGCCTCCTATGTCAGGCAAGGTGCTGTGATTTTGTCCAAGGTGACACAGCTCGCAAGTAGCATAGGGAGCACCCAAATCCAGTCACCTAACTTCAAGTCCCTTCCATTCCACAGCTGCCTTTTAGGCTGAGGCCACTGTTGCCACACAAGACCGCAGGATGCCAGGGCCAAAGGGCCATGGTAGGAAGGACCACATGATCAAGCTCTTTAGCTTGTTCCTTTGCATGGAAAGTGAGAATTGACAATCACTTTTTTCAGAGGAATAAATCTCCAGGAATAAATCCAAGTAGATACCCATATCCCATTAGTTACAGCCCTGTCCATGGTGTGCAGCCCAGAACTGGGTACTGGGGGCTCACGCATTCTCTCAAGCTAGTTTCAAGACAAGAACAGTTCAGTGAAGCACACATGAAACCCTGGGGGAGAAACTTTTGGCAAAAGAGGGACAGGTTCTCTCTAAAGTTCTGAGAGTTCCAAGCAATGGGATCAGAAGCCAAACAGGAGGTCCTACTCCTCGGACTAAGGACTGAGATCTCCAGTGTGACTCTCTTGGGCCACCTCAAGAGTCAGAGACCTAGGTCTCCTGGCATGCGCCCTTTGCCAGAGGTTTTGGAAACAATGTCTGTCATCCACTCTGGCTGGCCATCCCGCTGCCACATAGTTGCTTCAGAGATGCACACTAGGCTGCCCATCTCGAGTATGCCAAAATGTTCATGAATGGGCCACCCTTTGCCTGTAATCAACAGACAGGTGGGGCGACAGCCATGGGTCACATAACTGAGTCCAAACATGAGAGGCGGACTCAGATCAATAGATGAGTCAGGGCTCAGTGTATAAAACCTTGGGAGCTCCAGAGCTCTTCACATAAGCCAGCATCTCCTCTCCTCACTCAGCCCCTGGTGCTTCAGGTAAGTGTGAGTTCTCCTGGCTTTCGTCTTCCCAACTAGTCTTCCCCAGCGCTGCTCAGACTAGGTGGACCAGGGGACAGACCTGCAAGGCCTCTCTCCTCTTTGGAAACTACAGGACCTCTGTCTTTCCAACTGCATTCATGTTTAGAGGGAATTTAGGTTGGAAGTTGGGAGCTGAGCTGCTGCTGTGCAGATGGTGTCTCTGGTTTTCTGGCCAGAATGGGAACTCCACAAAGGCAAGACTACCTCTTGTCTCTCTGGCATCCCAGTAGGGGCCAGGCCAGTGATGGGCACAGAGGGACATTTGGCAGACTGCCCCTGTGAGTGGGCAGGATGGATCTCTTGCACCTGTCAGGACGAGAGGCTGAGTCTTACTTCCAGAGAGTAAGGGAGAACAGGGAGAGTAATTCCGAGAATGCTGCAGATGGGGGAGATTTGGGGAACCACAGGAACCCAGTGCCAGTTTTTCAGAGATGTTCTGAGAGACAAATTGTATGAGATGCTGGGACACAATTCCTACTAGTAATGGTCCCCTCAACCAAGCTTGGATGTAAGCAAAGCCTACATCTTTGGTCAGAGATGCTGGTCCAAAGGACCACTGGGTCCCTTCCCCTATGTCCAGACAGGATGGGGGAGGGGTGAGGGCTTTTCTGTTAACTAGCCCTGGTATCATGGCTAGGCTCAGACCAAGAGTTTGAACTAAGAGCTTTTTTTTTCCCCCTTAAAGATTTATTTTAGGAGGGAGGGGCAGAGAGAGAGAGAATCTTAAGCAGACTCACTGCTGAAGGAGGAGCCTACCTCTGGGTCCGATCTATCAATCCTGAGATCATGACCTGAGCTGAAATCAAGAGTCTAACACTTAACTGACTGAGCCACCCACCCAGGCACCCCTGAACTAAGAACTTTTGCAGAGAATGTGGGGTGGGGAGAAACAACCTCTGACATTCAGACAAACCTCCCTCTGTTGTGCCAAGGATGGGTAAAATCCCCCACTTAGGTGGAGGTTTGTGCTAATTTCTATTTGCACTCAGAGAATCCATGTTGGGATTGGAGACCTGAGAGATGAAGTGCTCTAACCCTCTCATTTTACAGGAAGTCGAGGACAAAGGAGGGAGTGTGGGTCATTTGCTGCCAAATCAGACAGCAAATGCCAGAGGTGGAGCTGGGAGAGAAAAATGGGCAACATACTGGGCTACTTAAAGCTTGGTAAAGACTTTCTGAGGGGGAGTGCAACTCTTCCAAAGCACTAATCCTAGAAGTCCCACCTGCGAGCTCTCCTATATCTCAACCGAGGCATCAAGCTGGACCCAGGCAGTGCTGCTCTGAGGCTGATGGGCGTTTCCATGGCTGCAACTGCCTCCTCCGCTGCATCCTCTTATGGCTGGTCCAGTGATGCTCTCTGCTCTCCTTACAGGGTTCCATTCCTCCTTAGACAAGATGTCTCACCAGAAAAAGCAGCCCACCCCCATGCCCCCAGTGGGTTGCGGGAAGAACTCGGGCGGCGGCGGCGGCGGCGGCGGCGGCTGCGGCTCCGGCGGCTGTGGCTTGTATAGCGGCGGCGGCAGCTCGGGCTGCGGAGGCTACTCTGGTGGCGGCGAAGGCTCCGGCTGCGGCGGCGGCTCCGGAGGCTGCGGAGGAGGTTCCGGTGGGAGTGTCAAGTACTCTGGGGGTGGTGGCAGCTCCGGAGGCGGCGGCGGCAGCGGCTCCGGCTGCGGGGGTGACTATTCCGGGGGCAGCTGCGGCTCCGGCTGCGGAGGTGGCTATTCCGGGGGCGGCGGCGGCTCCGACTGCGGCAGCAGTGGCTGCTACTCCGGTGGCGGCGGCGGCGGCGGTGACTCCGGTCAGCAGGTCCAGTGCCAGAGCTACGGAGGCGTCTCTAGCGGGGGCTGCGGGGGTGGCGGCTCCTCCGGGGGCGGCGGCAGCTCCGGCTGCGGTGGCGGCTCCTCTAGTGGAAGCTCCGGCTGCGGCGGGGGCTCCTCCGGCGGCGGCTCCGGCTACTTCTCTCAGCAGACCCCCCAGACCTCGTGCATGCCCCAGCAGAGTTACGGAGGGGGATCCTCCGGAGGCACTTGCGTCGGCGGCTCCTCCGGGGACGGCGGGGGCTGTTTCTCCAGCTGCGGCGGCGGCGGCGGGGGCGGCTCCGTCTGCGGCGGCTCCGTCTGCGGCGGCGGCTGGTCCGGTGGCGACGGGGGCTGCTTCTCCAGCGGTGGTGGGGGCGGCGGCGGCTCCGGCTGCGGCGGCGGCTCCTCCGGGGGTGACGGGCGCTGCTTCTCCAGCGGTGGGGGTGGCGGTTCCTCTGGGGGTGGCAAGGAGGTCCCGATCTGCCACCAGACCCAGCAGAAGCAGGCGCCTACCTGGCCAAGCAAATAAGGTCCGTTAAAGGCCGCGGAGAAGAAGAGATGGAGGTGTTCTCCGTGGGCGCCAATGGGCTTAGCTCTCTCATGGTATTGCCCTGAGGTTCCCAAATCTTTCAGGTGTTAACACCCGAGCCACTGAGCTCTGGGGCTGCCTCTTGTTCTGTAGTTTTTCATCTTTGGTTTCTGTACAACTACCTCCCAACCCCGGTACATCCTCAGTCAATAAATGTGCAATTCATGAGAATTTCTGTGTTTCCAGGCACCTTTGTAGTTTCCAAGTTCATTCATTCTATTTCATTCATCAACAAATGTATTTATTGGGAGAAGGGTGGGTGGATAGGTGAAAGTCATAGAGGAATGGCTGGCAACCAATAAAGATATGAACTCTCTGGTTTATGGCTTAAAATGGTGAGGTGAGGCCGAAACACAAAGATCCTGGGAAGAGATTTCCATTAACAGCTCCTGGTGGGTTGGGTAGCCACTGTGGGTCTTCTCGTTGAGCTCAGTGCTTTTTAAAGACAGGTCTGCCCTGGGAAGATACTATCTTTCATAGTCCATGTCTACTCTTCAAGATCTGAAAGCAGGGTGGCTGCACCTAAGGAAGACTAGCTTATGCTACCCAGACTCACAGGAGAAAGAATAATTGTATCAGAGATTTGTGACACCCTACAGGGTGTAAGACTGTTCAGGAGGCACCTGTAAGGAAAGGAAGATGTAGAGGAGCTGTTTCCTGCTCTCTTAAAGGAGCTTCACCCAATTTAGGAATATACAGCATAAGTGTATACAGTAAAGGCCAGTACCAGAGAGGTCATGGGGAAATACAGGAAGCATACCAATTAACAAGGAAGAAACTACAGTTGCTCTTTAATTGCATAGCTTTCAAAATAGATGTAGAACATTAGCCTGGTCAGGAACTCTCCAGGCCCTGTGTCATATCCTAATTCTACTACCTTTAGGTAAATGTTAACTTATTGATTTACTCAGAGCAAAACATTTGCTACATAAAAAACCAAAGTACTCTCCCTACACAGTCATTGCTGGAGACAAAAAGACAAATTATCCCTCCTTTTGACTCTTCCAATTACAGAATCAAAACAGGTAGCAGCTTTAAAGACCCAATAGGCCAACCACTGCATTAAAGTAGGATTTTTAGTTCTATGTCAAATGGAGTAGATTCATTTCTCCTTATTGCTCCTGCTAAGTATTACTAAAGTATCTGGGCATAATATATATTTTACATTTTTTTTAAAAAAAAAAGTCTAAAAAGTGGAGAGAAGAAGGCAGAGTAGCTACAGTCCTCAGAACTTAAGGACTGACACTGTGGTAAGTTCCTTGGGTTTTCTTTTTGCCTCCTATTTATCTCAGATTGGGCACTGGAAAGTCTGCAACTGAGAAATGCCAACAGGTGCAGGCAAAAAAATAGCTCCCCCCAAACCTGCTTTATTTATTCAAAGGACGAAGAAAGAGATAAAGAGATGACCTAGCAAGGCAGAAATATTTTTTGACAATCCACCCTACTTTAGTGAACCATCCTGGAAAAAGAAAATTGGCAAATTGGACTTCTACCTGGACCTAGTGGTGAGGAGATAACACCCCCTACACACACACTTATTTCACTGGTGCAGTATTAGCAGAGACCTGCTATAATAGCAGATTTGAATAAGACCCAGAGTCTCATAACACAATGCTCCAAGTGTCTAGCACACAATAAAAAAATTACTCATCATACCAAGAACCAGGAAAATCTCAGCTTGAATGAAAAAAGACACAATACTAACACTGAAATGATACAGATTTAGGGAATTTTCTGACAGAAAATTTAAAGACACTATAAAAATGCTTCAACAAGAAATTACAAATGCGGGTGCCTGGGTGGCTCAGTTGGTTAAGCAACTGCCTTCAGCTCAGGTCATGATCCTGGAGTCCCGGGATCGAGTCCCACATCAGGCTCCCTGCTCAGCAAGGAGTCTGCTTCTCCCTCTGACCCTCTTCCCTCTCGTGCTCTCTATCTCTCATTCTCTCTCTCTCTCAAATAAATAAATAAATAAATTACAAATGCACTTGAAAAAATAGAAAGTCTTGGCAAAGAAATAGAAGATATAAAGAAGAATTCAGTCTAAATTTTTGAACTAATAATTTAATAAACAGTTATAGAATTAAATTTTAGAATTGAAAAATATAAAATTCACTGGATAGGTTCAATAGCAGAATGGAAATGATGGAATAAAGAATCAGTGAACTCAAAAATAGGTCAATAGAAATTATCCAATCTCAGTGACAGAGAAAATAGGCTGAAAAATGAAAAAAAAAAAAAAGAGGAGAGAGAGAGAGCTTCAAGATCCTGTGGGACTACCAAAGAGCTATCATTCATGTGATCAGAGTCCCAAAAGGAGAAGAGAGTGTGGGACTAAAAATTAGAAGAAATAATAGATCAAAATTACCTAAATTTGGTGAAAGGCATAAATCTACAGATTTAAGAAGATAAGTCAACCTCAAACAGGATAAACCCAAAGAAAACCACACCAATTCATCACTTCATCACAAAAATGAATTTAAAATAAATTAAAGACTAAAATTTAAGACCCGAAACTGTAAAACTCCTAAGAAAACTCCTCCTAGGGATAAAGTTCTTTGACATTGGTCTCAGCAGCAATTTTCTGGATGTGACAACAAAGCACAAGCAACAAAAACAAAAATAAATAAATGGGACTACATCAAACTAAAGAGCTTCTCACAGCAAAAGAAACAATTAACAAAATGGAAGGTAGCCTACAGTATGGGAAAAATAATTGCAAATCATATAACTGATAAGGGGCATATCTAAAATTTATCTTTTTATCTTTCTCTCTCTTTTTTTTATGTTGTTAGCCACCTATATCTAAAATTTATAAAAAGGACTTACAACTCAACAGCAAAAACATAACAACTTAATTTAAACATTGACAGAGGAGCTAGAATATACAGTTGTCCAGACACACAGATGGCTAACAGGTACATGAAAAGGTACTCAACATCACTAATCATCAGGGAAAAGGAAATCAAGCCACAATGAGATATCACCTCACACCAGTCAGGATAGCTATAATCAAGAAGATAAGAGATAACAATATTGGCAAAAATGTAGAGGAAGAAAAAAAACCCTAGTGCACTCTTGGTGGGAACACAAATTGGTACAGCCACTATGGAAAACAGTATGGCGTTTCCTCAAAAAATTAAAAATAGGACTACCATATGGATCCAACAATCTCACTTCTGGGTATATATCCAAAGGAATTGAAATCAGGATCTTGCAGAGATGTCTGCACATTCATGTTCATTGCAGCACTACTCCCAATTCCTAAGTGTCCATCAATAGATGAATGGATAAAGAAGACCATATGAATATTATTCAGCCATGAGAAAGAAGGAATTCCTTCCATTTGTGACAACTTGGATGGACCTTGAGGGCATTATGATAAGTGAAATAAGTCAGACAGAGAAAAACAAATGCTGTATAATGTTACTTGTATCTGGAATCTAAAAAAGACAAACTCAGAACAGAGAGTAGCTAGTGGTTACCAGGAGTTGGGGGGTGGAAAAATGAGGAGATACTGGTCAAAGGGCACAACTTCCAGTTATAAGATTAATAAGTTTGGCAATATAATGTAAAGCAGGTGATTATAGCTAATAATATTGTATCATATACTTGAATGTTGCTAAAAGAATAGATGTTAAATCTTTTCATTACAAAAAAAGAATAGGTAACTATGTGACAAGATGGAAGTGGTAGCTAATATTATGGTGGCAATCATTTTGCAACTTTTAAATGTATCAAATCAACATGTTGTACACCTTAAACTTACACAATATTATGTGTCAATTATATCTCAATAAAGCTGGAAAAAACATGCAAAAAAATGTTTTTAAGAGTTGTACATATAAAAGCAAAGAGAGAGAGAGAGAGAGAGAGAAAGAAAGGAAGGAAGGAAGAAGAAAGAGAGAAAGAAAATAGAAAACTACACCAGAAAACATCATAATCAAACTTCCAAAAAGAAAAAGAAAAAAATGACAAAGAAAAAATCTTGATAGCAGGTAGAGAAATGACACATTACCTATAGGGAAACTATGGTTTGAATGGCAATAGATTATTCATCAGAAACCATGAAGGCCAAAACAAAAGTAAAAGAAACCATGAAGGCCAGAAAGAAGTGGCACATTTTTCAAGTGCTAAAAGAAAAAACTTCCAACCCAGAATTCTAATTTTTTTTAAGATTTTATTTATTTATTCATGAGAGACAGTGAGAGAGAGAGAGGCAGAGGCAGAGGGAGAAGCAGGCTCCCTAAGGAGCAGGGAGCCTGATGTGGGTCTTGATCCCAGGACCCCGGGATCACGACCTGAGCCGAAGGCAGATGCTTAACCATCTGAGCCACCCAGGTGCCCCCCCACCCCAGAATTCTATATAGTGAAAATATTCTTCAGGAATGAAGGTGAAATGTAGTCTCAGGTGAAAGAAAAAACAATTGTTTCCAGCAAACCTACTCTTAAAGAATGGCTAATAGAATTTCATTAAACAAAAAGGAAATAATCAAAGAAGGCAACTTGGAATATCAGGAATAAAGAACAATTCAAAGTGTAAAATTACAAGTAAATATAGGACAGTATCTTTCTTCTCTCAAGTTTGTTTAAATTATATTGACAGTTGAACCCACAACCAAAACACTGATGTAGTTCTCAATGTATGTAGAGGAAATATTTAAGACAATTGTATTATAACTGGGCAGAGTGAAGGACCAAATGGGGGTAAGGTTTACATATCAATCAAAGAGGTAAAATGTCAATGCCAATAGACCGTGATGAGTTATGTCATATACATAATGTAATATCCACAGCAGCCACTAAAATTAAAAATATATATATACAAAGAGATATAGTCAAAATACTTGCAAATTGTAGTATAGCATGCATATTCAGATGGTCCCCAACTTATGATGGTTTGACTTAAAATTTTTTTATTTTATATGGAAAGAGCCCAG